TTCTGATGCTAATTTTAACCAGTTGACACAGCTTCTCTTTTTAAGGGAATAAGTCACATGACCTGATACTGAAAGTCGTCATAAGCCAAAAAAAGGAAACCTTCTGTTTCCGACGACATTTGGCTCCGATCGCGAATTCTTTTTTTTTTGTTTTTCATTCCGTCATAAGCTGTTTCCGATTTCGATTCTGTTGCTAGTTTAGTCAGTAAACCAGCCATTAATAAGAAATGCACAAATATACATACACGTAGCGAGTACGATAATCTAGTTTGTACTGCGGTGTTATAATAGCATTTGATATAATAATAATAACTAATAATAACTAAATATTTATAGAGCGCTCATAGCAAGAGTTCTGCGGCTGATTACAAGAACTATGCATATATATATATGTGTGTGTGTGTGTGTGTGTGTGTGTGTGTCTGTGTGTGTGTGTGTGTGTGTGTCTGTGTGTGAATTTAAGAATTATTCCTTTTCAACTAAGACTCATCAGCAACCGTTTTTCGTATCGGATTGAAAACGACTGCTGAGGAGACTATTTCGTATTCCAACAAATCAAAGTTCAGTAAATCTAAATTGTTTTAAAGGTTTTCATAAACCATTTATCCTAGTTTGCTTTAGCCTTTTATCCTGGTTCCAGTGCTGTTTGATCAGGCTCTTCTCGATTGTGCACCAGTCTGTTATATGAATCTGGTTGGGGTTCTGTGTATGCTGTTTGATCATGTCCTTCTCGATTGTGCACCAGTCTGTTATATGAAGCTGGTTGGGGTTCTGTGTATCCGGTTTGATCAGGTCCTTCTCGATTGTGCACCAGTCTGTTATATGAAGCTGGTTGGGGTTCCGTGTATGCTGTTTGATCAGGTCCTTCTCGATTGTGCACCAGTCTGTTATATGAAGCTGGTTGGGGTTCTGTGTATGCTGTTTGATCATGTCCTTCTCGATTGTGCACCAGTCTGNGTCCTTCTCGATTGTGCACCAGTCTGTTATATGAAGCTGGTTGGGGTTCTGTGTATGCTGTTTGATCATGTCCTTCTCGATTGTGCACCAGTCTGTTATATGAAGCTGGTTGGGGTTCTGTGTATGCTTTTTGATCAGATCCTTCTCGATTGTGCACCAGTCTGTTATATGAAGCTGGTTTTGGTTCTGTGTATGCTGTTTGATTAGGTCCTTCTCGATTGTGTACCAGCTTGTTATATTGAGCTGATTGGGATGCTATATATGCTGTACGTGGGTCGTCAAATGCGTAGTTATATATACCTTATAATGATAAAAAATAAGAATACACGTGATAAGGTTGAGCATTGTAAGGGAAAATGGGACGAATAAATGCTTTCGATGCTTTTAAACGAGCTAATTCAAAAACGCATGATAAGCACGATATTTATATTATATTTCTTTGTCTACTATTGAAAGTTTATTTTATTTTGATTTTAATTGATTAAAAATAACCAGAGACCATATTCCCAGACCCGAATGCTGAAGCGTTGTATGGTAGCGCGAAGCGGTTACGGCTATGCCAGAGATTTCAACCCCCGCTGACACAGCTATCCCGGGAGGAATTAGAGACTGATCAGGAAGCTCGACCGGAACCTAAGGGAGAGGTTAATCGGTCCCTACACCATAAATGATTAACACCTTACTATGACCAATAAAAAAAACACATCTAAAAACGAGAGAAAAAAGTTTATAATATAGTCAAGTAAATCCGCGCGATCTGATTGGTTGAAAAGCATGAACCATTTGCCCATGGGTTGCACGCTCACGTCAGCTTTTTTAGCTTCGGCG